GAAGAAGAAGAGGAGGAGGAGGAGGAGGAGGAGATTGGATTTATACCCCGCCCTTCACTTGGAGTCTCAGAGCGGCTTACAAACTCCTTTCCCTTCCCCTCCCCACAACAGACACCCTGTGAGGTGGGTGCGGCTGAGAGAACTCTGACACAAACTGCTCTTTTTCAAGGACAGCTGTGCCAGAGCTTGTGACTGACCCAAGGTCACATCAGCAGGTGCAAGTGGAGGAGTGGGGAATCAAACCCGGTTCTCCCAGATTAGAGTCCGCACACTTAACCACTACACCAAACTGGCATAGTAGTTGAAGTGCTTTTATGTTTAAAACCAAAGCCTGCTGATGAGTCTCTGCCTAGTGCCAGGGATATGGGTGTGGGGGGGGGGGGGGGGGGAAGCATTCAGTGATTCAAACTGAGAGGCAGGAAGACACAAGTGGGGGGGGAGTACAATGCTAATAAGATGGCACACTCAGTATCAGGACCTTGGACAGAACATTGTGGGGTAGAGGGCCTGGAGGCAAGGCCGGAGCTAACAAGGAAACCTAAGCCACCAAGCAAGAAGTCTGGAGTGTTCTTTTGGCAATGTTCAGAAGCCTATTGAGGGCTGAAATACTGCTGTAGGAAGACATGGGCTCTTGGCCCCAACATTCTGGAGATCATCATTGTGTTAAAGCACAGTCTTTGCTTTGGATCCTGGCTGCTTCTGAGATGTGCACTGCAAGTAATATTGGACATTCTGCTTAGACACTGCGGGTTCTGGGACCAGTGTGGTGGTGAAGAACAGTATGCCAGAAGCCAAGGGAGTTTCTGGAGAGGAGTTTTATCTGTGAATGTCTCCTCTGGAGAGGAGTTTTATCTGTGAATGTCAGCAGGAGGTGCCAGTCCTGGAGTCAACCATTCCTGTTGCTCCAAATGCAGCAACCTCTTCTCTTTCACAGTCAGACTTACCAAGCAACAGCAGCAGTGACTACAAAAATTGGTTATGTGAGTAGCATGGTCCTGGCAGGGTGCTGAGGTACTTAGTCTCCTCCCCTTCCAGTTCTTCACAGGTCCCATCTTGTCTCTATGTGACTGTGACACCATGACTGCTTTATAGGTGCACGGACAAGCTTATAAGACAAAATACAGATTTATAGTGGCCACTGTATAGGCCAGGTGTTCTCTGGTATGATTTAGAGTTAGAAGAAACAGTCTGGGTACTTACAAAGACCTAGGGATGCATTTAGAAATTCCAGCAGCCTGAATAGCCCAGCTTAGAGTCAACAGAACGTGGAAGCTAAGTAGGGTCATCCACAGTTAATACTTGGATGGGAGACCACCAAGGAAGGCTGGGGTTGCTACATCGAGGAAAGTAATGGCATACCACCTCCACTTGTCACTTTCCTGGCATGCCTGTGGATGGGGTCACCATGAATCTGTCGTGACTCGATGGTATGTTCTTCTACTTTTTTAAAAAAAATCCATCCCACCATTCAGTATCTCCCCCTTCTAGGATTCTCTAAGCTGTTATGGACTTGAGCAGGTTAATTTCAGCTTCCTCTCCTTTTTCTCTTCAACTGGTGGGCTGTCAATATCCCGTGCCTTCTGGAGCATATTTGGTTCTCATAAGGCTGTTTTAAAGTTTCCATTCTCCTGGCTGGTTACTTTACAAAGACATATTTTCCAGATACCTAGGGATTCCCCTGGCTCCCATGTCTCCTTGTGTGTGTGGCCTGTCATTGCAGTTTTCACCATTCATACAGAGGTCAGTCAGTTTACTATTAGATATAGCAATGGTTATCTTAGGCTGTGTACATATTTCTTGATTGCATATGTGAATATGTGTGTTTGCAGACTGGACATTGATTTCATAGGTGTCCTGGATTTAAGAACACACCTGTCTTTGTCAAAGTATGCACTGTCATATTTGGATAATTATGCATGTACAGGATCAATCTGTTATTCCAGAATCAGTCCTATTGATAGTATGTCCCTTGAGTTATAAAGTATTCATTGGAACCCACAACTTATTTTCTACATATACTGTCATCACCCTAAAGGCGTTATCTTATTGTTCATTAATATATAATTAATTAAATTGATGGGGTTTCATTTATTTTATTTGTGTACTTTTGCCAAAGAAAATCTTTTTGTTCCTTTGCCAAAATAAAGCCAACTACTGAGGAGAAAGAAAAGCATGATTAAACAGTGTAGTAAAAGAAGGGAATTTAATAACCACACTGGATCTGTTTAATAAATTAGCTTTGAATTTGCCTGCTAAACAACTAATTTCATTTGAAAATGGATCATTGTTAAGAAATATTAACAATTCTGCCATTTATTTCATAGTCTGTCCTTTATATTTGTATGGTCCAGGAAATAGCTGTAAAACTAATAAAAACACTTATGTGTTCGAAATGCCTGCTAAAAGCAGTTGTAACCTCTGCTGTGAACAACAAGCATGATTAATAAGAATTTTAAATGTATGCAATAATAAAACTCAGATCATTTATTTACAATAGCCTTTCCCATGAGATGAAGGAAATTCTAAACCCCAGTATCATTTACTGCCTGATTTGCAGCTTGAATCTCATCAGAGAATGCTTAAAGTTAAAGCTCATTTCCGTTCATAAAGAGAGTAGGCTAAATATAAGCATTCCATCTTAACTGGATTATGGAACACACTTGTATTTTGAGTCCGACTCTTCGCGACCCCATGGACTAGCTCCCGCCAGGCCCTCCTGTCTTCCGCCATCCTCTGAAGTTCGCTCAATTTCATTTTTGACACTGTCTAACCATCTCATCCTTTGCCATCCCCGTCTTCTTTGACCTTCAATCTTTCCCAGCATCAGGGTCTTCTCCAGTGAGTGCTCCCTTCTCATTTGGTGGCCAAAGTATTTGAGCTTCAGTTTCATTATCTGGCCTTCCAGGGAACAGTCAGGGTTGATTTCTTTTAGGATTGACTGATTTGATCTTCTTGCAGTTCAAGGGACTCTCAAGAGTCTTCTCCAGCACCATAGTGCTATTAGACAATAGCAGTGTCTAATAGGTAAAGGTTTCCCTTGCTCGTAAGCCAGTCGAATCTAGGGGCAGTGCTCATCTCCGTTTCCAAGCCAAAGAGCCAGTGCTGTTCGAAGACGTTCCCATGGTCATATGGCCGACATGACTAAATGCCGAGGTGCACGGAATGCTGTTACCTTCCCACCAAAGTGATACCTATTTATCTACTTGCAATTTCTTGCTTTCGAACGGCTAGGTTGGCAGGAGCTGGGGTCAGAGACGGGAGCTCACTCCGTCACGTGGCACCAGGGTCTTGAACTGCCAAGCTACACAACTTCTGGTTTCCAGCTTCAACATCTTAACCTCTGAATACACTGGCCTTAATTGTATCAGTGTTTACATCTGGGCACAGGGGGACTGGTGCTGGTGGGGGCATAAGGTGTTTTTACATTGCTTTTTAATGTTTTTCATATTTGTTGTATCTGAAGAAGTGTGCTTGTACATGAAAGTTTGTACCTTGAATCAAACTTTGTTGGTCTTAAAGGTGCCACTGGACTCAAACTTTGTTCTGCTGCTTCAGACCAACATGGCTACCCACCTGAATCTATGTTGTTTTTTGTATTTGTTTTCTCATATTGCTTTATATTGTTGTTACCTGCCTTGGGTCCTGAGATGCTAGGAAGAAAGGTAGGTGTATAAATATTATAAATAAATACTGCTTTCAGAACTAGTTCTTCAAGATTTATAGTCTGTGCACATACATGGAAAATCCACTGAGAATATTTTCAGCACACAAATTGAAACAAATGGGAATGTATTCTTTTATTGCTCCCATTCATATGAGTCTTGTGCAAGGGAATGTCTCAGTGGACCTTTGCCCTGTAGAGGCTCAGGTAGTTTACTGTGTTCTTGTATAGATAGATCCAGGTGGGTAGCCATGTTGGTCTGAAGCCGCAGAACAGTCCAGTGGCATTTTTAAGACCAACAAAGTATAAATAACTTTGAATAAAACAAAGTGGAATAAAAGTTAGTTGGTTTTAAAGGTGCCACTGGACTCAACTTTGTTCTGTCTCCATATGGCTTGATGCAGCTTTATAGGAATGCTGCTGAGAGATCTGAGTCAGCAATGGTTATTTTAATGGGACATATACAGAAGAAATTCTCAGTGGATTGGACCCACAACAGTTGTGCTGCCCTGTATGGTTAAAGCACTGGACTATGTTTAAAAATCTGATCAAATGGACTATAGAATAAAAGTAAGGTTGATTTGATTGTGACCAGATCTTAGAATGCTGGTAGTTTCCTGTGCCAGGAACTACTGTGGAACCCCACAAGGAATTGTGCTACACAGTAGGATCACATTGCACCCTTGTTTTATGGTTCATTTCACCTATTTAATGCAACTTAAGAACCTGCAAAAGGAGCATGTTAGAAGAAAAATGTTGGATGGGTGTGTTTGATTTCTGTGAATCAAAATATTTGTTTTTTCAGTATCAGAAGAGTAACATAGGACAAAATCTCTAGAGCTGTATATCACATTCTGCAGCCAGAGTGAGACATAGCTGTGTTTTTCAAGTTCAAGTAAATATTCAGATATTGCCGTTCCCTGCAAGAGTCCATTCTTATTAAGAAGCAAAAGATGCATTTTCCCTCCAATTGTGCCCAATATTCCCTCCCCCCTTTTTTGGAGAAGATCATGTATTGAAATATTGTAGATAAGACACTTCTTCCTAACTATATAAGAGCATTTAGAAACTGCTGAAAATTTGCTTATTAAGGCATGTGTATTTTTCATTTATATATATATATTTATTGTCTCTTTGTAGTTCTAAAACCATTTGTTTTGAAGTAATAGCATAGAAATCCTCTGGAGTAAACAAGCTACAAACACTCAGGTTAATTTATTAGCACTGGTAGAGAAACTATTTTTTACTGAACTAGCCACTTTAAAATGTATAGAATGAACAGTTGGATACTGTGGTTGTATATGTGGTACTAAGACTCTTGTCTGTTTTTCCTCTGCAGTGACCTCAGTATGAACAACATCTCAAAGCTACCCTCAAACTCCCTGCACAATCTCCGCTTCCTAGAAGAGCTGTATGTACCATTGTATCCTTGATTGGCATAGCTGAGAGCTAGGCATATTCTTGGGTTTGTGTCTTCTCTTTACTCTGGGAACCCATTTAACATGGCACAGGAAAGTTGTGAGTGCTGATGCTTTTGGCACATGCGGAAACACTTAGCTGGGAAAAAAGCAGTTGCTTTTGATTCTGGAAATGAACTTATTAAAAAAAGAGTTACCATGAGGCTACAACTTTTCTAAGCAAAGACAGAGCCAAACAATTTTTGATTTATTATTTTTTTTAAAGCAAGGGTTGTTTAAAAGACCTGGATTGGTATTTGGAAATAGCTACGCAGCAGGATATTAAAGCTTGAATACTGGCTCATGTTTATTAAAATAGCAAGCAAAGCTATAATCAAAACCAAAACCTGCTGCCTGGTTCTGCTCGTGTCAAGGACACTTGCATTCACATTTCAGAGCACTACATCTTCTTGTTGTAATCACTGTTAATTACCGTTTCCTTAGTTTTAGCTTTTAGCATCCCTTAAGGCTAATTCTGAAACACAGAATCATGTATGGCTTACTTTTGTTCTATTTGGTGTTTTTCTGTTTTAAAGGAGGGGAAGTATGCTGTAAAAACTAGTTAATCAAACACAGGATCACAAGTGGAATGTTGATTAGAAATGAGGATGGCTAGCAAGAAATGGAAAGTAGTCTGTGCACAAAAGACGAGGCTATAACAAAATGACTGTAGTAAAATCCATTAGTTTGGGGGAAAAGAAGCTTTAAAACTCTTAGTTTTTTACAACAGTAGTAATTTATGAAGTGAAACACCACAAATATTCTGAGAAAGTTCACTAGGCAAATTATTGGGGTATCAGTTAATGGTGCCACAGCCTGCAACTGGCTAACTAAAAAGCATTATAGATCATGGGAAATTAAAGCTCTATTTATGCACAGTATCCTGAAATCACTTCACCTGTCCCCGATCCGGCCCTTCAAGCCAAAAATGTGCATACAAAAAGAACCTGCTAAAGAGCAGGACTTACTGGAAACACTGCAGCAAGCACGTGGGATCGCTGGTGCGTCCGTCGTCAGGAGCATTCGAGGCTCCTGGCCGACCTGTGCATGCGCACACATGCGCAGCCGGCTGCCTCCGTCTCCCTTCAGTGGCTTCCTCCCCAGCATCTGATCATTTCGGGGAGCAACTGTGCGGCGGCTCAGGGGATCTGTGTGATCCCGCCGCTGCGTGTCTCTTTTGGTGCGGCTCTAAAGATCTGTGTGATCCCGCCGCTGCGTGTCTCTTTTGGTGCGGCTCTAAAGAGCCGTACTTTGGCCGCGCTCCCCCCCCCCTGTCACAAAACAGGTTGTGATAGTTATTCTAGCGAAAGATGGTCCTATGGAGATGGAGACAAGCGATCAGAACTAAATCCAGTCTTTAAAGTCTTCACTTTACTCCCTGGAAGACTTGGTCACACCTGGAGAAGAGCCCAAACCTTTACTGCCTTAACACTGGAATGCAAAATGCCCAATTTAGTGAGGGCATCCTGATGGGCATCCTAGCTATTGACTGCAGTGTCAGTGCTCTGAATGCCAGTGCAGCCTACTACTCTACAGAGTCTCGCCAGCCAGTCTCCAACAACTGCCTATAATGGAGTAAATGGCATGAACTGTAGAACCTGGAGCCACCTGATTGTTTCTGAAGCTCTAAAGAAGAAAGCAAGTTATGTTGCTGGAGCCAGTTAGGCCACCACTGAATAAGACATATCTCGTTTCCTTTTTAAGACAGAAAAATTGTTCTTTTCAAACTGTGTGGGCAAAGCTCCAAGCAATTTTTAGCACACGGCTATTACTCAGTAACTTTACAGCAGGTGCCCTGAGTAGAATAAAGCACAGATAAATTCACTGTAGGCCTGAACTGTTCCCCCCCCCCTTTCTTTTTAAACAGAATGATTTTGGAATTAGTTTCAGATAACAAGTATTTTGCAGACCAAATGACAAAGCCACCTTAAAATGTAGTTCTGTCTTGATTACAGGCGCAGACCAATAAACTAAACCTCACACCATTTTAAAAAAAGGAATATAATGTATACCTCTTGCATTAATTCAGATTTTATCTTTTTAATCAGTGAAAGAATGCTTTCCCAAAACTACCCTAATTCAGTGGTGAGATACAATATAAAGAAACAGCACAAATGCAAAGAAAAGCAGCTCTTTCTTTTTCAAAGCAGTAATGGCAGCTTAAAACAGTAAAACTGTAATAACAACAAGCAATATTTGAAGTGAGCTTGATTTCTTCCAAGTCACATCTGAATGAGATAAGGTGAGTGAAAAAGCATATTGAGAAGAAGTTAGATATAGTTTTGCCATCACTTGCCTTGGACTCACTGCCCTTCACTGTACCCAGTCCTAAGAACTACAAGCGCAGTAGAAGATTGCCAGCTGTTCCATGCAACTTTCAGAGCAGCTGAAGATGGGTACAATGGCGTGTGCTTTAAAAAGAGACCCTCTAAGTAATTTTCATGTATTGATTTAAGTACTCCCATGCTGTTTTCCACTAGTATCCACAGCAGTTCACAATAAAACCCTTAAAGTTTCAATAGTCAATCAATTAAAACAAAAAAAAATCTTTTAAAAATAGCCTGCTGTCAAAGATCAAGTAAAACAACAAAGTCCTCAAATAAAAGGGCAGATTGACCATTTAACTTAACAGGAAATTTCCCAGTTGGCCACTACCCTACAGTGCTGTTGGTGGCCAAGTCCCAGCAACTCTGCCAGCACCTGAGGGGCCACTTGGCTCAGCCCCTCCACTGGTAATTGGTGTCAGCTCTCCAATTGGCTCCTTCTGCAGTGGTGCTGTTTTGTGGGATGAGGCAAAGGGTGAGCCAGTGCTCATTGCTGATGCCGTGGAATTCAGTGCCACCTGACGTGCTGGCTTGTAGCATCATGGGGGGTCATTCAGCTGGGCTTGCTCCAGAGTCATTTTCACTTCCCAGTCTGTTCCCGCTCATCTATGAATAGCCTTGATGATTTTTTAAAAAAAGTCTTAGTCTGATGCCAATATATATATATAATAATCACTTTATTATGAATCTGTCAGAAGAAGATATTATGTAGATGGAACACCATCACTAAAAAGGCCCTCTTTCCAGTTGCCACCCATCTGATCTCTGGGGTAGGTAACGACAGAAGGCCCAGAAATAAATGACCAGGCAGTGAGACAGTGTGAGATTTCTGACTTGACTAGCTGCACTAAAATTTACACCTGCATGATAGAGCAGGCCATGCAAGCGTGTTAACTGTTCAGAATGCATTCTTAGAGAGCAATTTCAGTTAGCTTTTGGAAAACATGGTCTCCATTATTTCCAACTACAAAGAATGCCTAACAATAAAATGGTGTTTTCCTGCAAAGAATACTGTATGCAGTTCTTAACACTGAATTTCAAGTGTAAACTTGAAAACGTTTTTGAAAAGGGAACAAAAAATTTAATTCAGAAAAGAAATTGGATGTACAACGCTCTAGAACAGAATGCCTGGTTAAATTAATAAGCAGAATATTTAATAATTAAAAAGTTTATCTTCTTTTCCCCCTCATGTAAAAGAGGTAGTTTTCCCTAATAGGGAATAATAGGTGGTGATGATTAAAACAGTGATGCTAACTAAGTGCTAAAAGTGCCAAAATTCATAGAAGATAAAATTATCAGCCTGTTTTAGATTGCGTAACAAACAGGGAACCAGCAAGTCATGCAGTAGAAAGTCACTCAGTTGAATTGTGTGGCAACCACTGCTGGATACCCAAGCCACACAAGTTGTGCAGAGGCTGCTGCTGGACCCAGGCTAGTTGTGCCACACATGTTGAATCATGTGAATTGCATGGTAGCAAATTGCCTTGTGGTTGTAACTGGCCCTGGCCCCAATGAGTCCTCCCCCAGAGCAGGAGGGAAAGGGAGCAGAGGTGGACAGGGAGGCCAAAAGAGCTGTCATGCCCCTGCCTTTTAACAAAAGAAATCCACAATTCTTTTTTAAAAAGAAAAAGACAGCATAGGCACCAGGATAGCCAGGTGATTGTAATAGGAAACTTATTTTACTCACATAAATAAAGATTATTAGGATGCTTGTTTTTGCTTAATGTAAACAAAAGGCAAGTGTTGAATAATTATGAAATTAATTTCTACTTCACAAAAGTGAAATTTGAGACCCATGTGAACAAAGAGGCCACACATATGGTTATATAAGAAACACAAGCAAAGTTCCGTAACCCTGGCCATAAATCAATAATATGCCCCCTATGAGCATCTCTATTCAGCTCTCAACAGAATGTTGTATTTACCTATCTAATTTCAAATCAGTAATCAAGGTCTATCCAAAGTTTTCTTCTCTCCCGCACTGTTACTAACCCCACCAAATTCAAATGCAAAAATCAATGCAAAATGCTAAGTATATTCAGGTCAATCCAAACCGCATGGGAAAACATTCATTGCAGAAATTAACTTGCATATATAACTTTTTAGAGACTGGGCAAATACTATATTTTTTAAAGAAACAGTGCAAATATGGACTCACATTACAAAAACACACATAAAACTGGAAGAAGATCTGAATGAGTATTTCACTGTTACATAAGAGACCATCAAATAGCTTTTCCTGTGGCACAAAGACTGAGCAGCTGATGGGAAGAAAAAATATAAAAGTGGAAAAATATAAAAGTGGAAAAGACAGGTCAGCCATTTTAAAAAGTGTTTGCTGAAGAATTAGTGGTGTACTTTCTTTTGGAGTAAGTCTTTTACCCAAATCTTTGCCATATAAAATTTTAGATGTCAGGTTTTAAATACACAACATTAGTAGAAATTACCATGGTTTTCTTTCCAAATTAGGATTTTCAATTCCAGGTTAGAAAATTCCTGGAAATTTTGGGATTTTGGAGAAGGTGCAGTTTGGGGAGCAGAAGGACCTCAGCGGGATATATTGCCATAGAGTTTACCCTCCAAAGCAGCCATTTTCTCCAGGGGTAATGATCTCTGTAGCCTGGAGACCA